ATATATATATATATATACAGTTCTATTAGGAATATGTTGGGCTAGCTTACCTTTGCTTTTCATTTTGACATGTTTCATTTCGGCTTTGTGATATAAAGTAAAAAGGAGCTTGCAATGTGTAAAAATCGGGCAAATGTCCGTGGTCATCATACTGAGCCATGAAGTTTGTACCTTAATCTAGTGATTGATGAGGCTGGCTTTCAAGTTCTCTCTTAGTTGTACATAGCCATGAAGCTGGTGATGAGGTTGGTGTTGGGTTCTCCACATTCGGAATTTGCCTTATCTTCCGTCGAATTATCTCTGTTTTATAACAAGAAAATTACAATAGTGCCTAGTATTATACATGCACATACAAGAAAAATGTTCCATATAGTTGAAGTCTTTAAATTGTAACGGTTATTCTTTCCTCTTTTCCCAAAGGGATGTTATGGTAATACGTGATGAATCCCAGGAGGACTAAAAACACCCAACTGTTCTTGCTAAGAACTACAAAAAAGGCAAATACGATGGATTTTTTTATTTGAGACTTTTTAGTTGAAGGTTCAATAAACAAGATGGCCGTGAATCTACGAAGCCAAGTACAAATGGATAATCTAAAAGGTAATTTACAAGTAACAATCGATGTTCAAACAAAGAGTTGAAATATAACATTTCATAAATTAACGTAATTTACAAACATAGTTTACATTCCTTCGCTCAAAGTAGTCCGACCTCGTACAAAAGATTATGTAATAACTACTACTTCAATTAATAGCTACCAATTAGGTCGACCCCTTTCCTTCTCAATTCATTTTGGCAATTTCTTGCACACCTTTACGTTCACCATAATATGTAGATCTTCTTTCACAGAGATGCGAACTTGAGATTGAAACATGTGTGATATTTGTTCAGATGTTTCGTTAGTTGCAAAGTTAACCAAAGAAGCGCTAGCTCTAGACAATTGGCTGCTTTATTTTTCTTTGAAAACCCATTTCCAAAATCCACATTTCTTACTGTAGCAAAAAAATAATCGCCCTATATTTTTAGTCTCCTCCACCATGAAACTTTGCTCAAATCTGTGCTCCCAATTTGGGCGTTGGTGTTTCCATGGACAGTCAGCTAAGAAATGCCCCTCAACTCTACAACTGTGACAGATTCCACAATTCTTATAGCCCATTTTGCGATGCGAACATATCACAGAGCATCAACTCAAATAGAAAACACTGTTGTTCGAAGGAAAATAACACAAAGGAATTTGTTGGCAAGCAATATTATGCATCAATAAGAAATTTATAAGTATTCCAACCACAGTTTCTCATGATCCTAGTGGTACACCAGCAAATTGTAATAGAGAGGCAGGTTCCAAACTTAAGCCAACATCATCAAACACCAATTTATATGATGCACATGTGAAACTCAGATTAATTATCCACTGATTATACTGAAACATTGGTGCGAAAATGGTTACAAACGTCCACATGGTCTTTATGTAGGAAATGCCTGATGGCATTGAGGGGACCAATCTAGATGACACACCGGATTTAATAAGTTAGGAGACACGTTTTGGCCCCAGAAAAAGATTCAACCAAATACTATGTTTCACCAAAGATCCAATATCAATGCTAGCAAATCTTACTTCAATAAAGACCAAACTCCTGTAATTCGATTTATCTCAACATGGCAAAAAATAAAAAATAAAAATTGAGAGGCAGGGGATAATGGAAAAACTAAACATGATAATGAAACTTCTAATTGCGCCCAGCAGCTATTACATAGATCCACAATAGTGAAGCAAAAATCCAAACTCGTGTGTAGAGAAATTTGATTGCTACCAATTCAAATGTGGTCTTCTACGTTTAACATTTCAAATATAAAAATAACAGAGCACTGGTAAAATCTTCAATCCAAGGGAAAAAAAAAAAGAAAAAATCACAGGTATATGGAGAGAACGATGAATATAACTAAAACAGATACGATTTTTTTTTTCCAGATTTTTTATCAACAGACATCTGATCTGTAAATATGGAATCTAAATCAACATTATGCATTTATACGCTTACCAGACGAGACTAAGATTAGGTGGAAATGAGAGTTTTCACAAGATTTGTGAAATTCATTTGCATGTGCGAGTGCGCTAGGGCTCCTTGCGGCCGGAGATCTTCAAGCACATGCCGACCGGAGCTTGCTTTCTCCCTTCCGAGACTCGAAATGGGTGGATATGGAGATTTCTGTGAGTTGGGCAGTGAGGAAATTTTGTCCATTCGTGAGTGTAATTTGGGGAAAGTGGGCGGAGAGAGTTTTCAGCCTTTGTTTTATTAATTGGGTAATTCGCATAAAACATCCCGACTTTTTAAGTCTATTGTGGAAAAAGTCTCTACCTTTTATTTTTTGGCATTTTTGCCCTCATTTCAACCTTTCTTTGCTCTGGACGTCCTTCCGTCCATATTCCATCAGTTTTTCCGTTAATTAAAGGGTAATTGGCACAAAACGTCCCTACCTTTCAAGTCTATTGTGGAAAACGTCCATACCTTTCATTTTTTGGCATTTTTGTCCTCATTTCAACCTTTCTTTGCGCTGGACATCCTTCCGTCCATATTCCGTCAATTTTTCCATTAATTAAATACAAAAATACCTTTTTCTTTCCATAAACAAGGATAAAATTGTCCTCACCCACTTCACCCCTTTTTCCTGCCATCAACTTAATCCATAAGTAACAGTAGCAGCAACATGAATTTGAAAATACTTTAAATGATTAAGTTAAATAAAGAAAAAATATCGTGAACACATTATATTTCACAATTCCACAACTACTGTTGCTCTCATCTTGTGTCACTGGAAAAATTTAGAAAGACATATTAAATGGGTAGCCAATTTATAATGAGCCAAAATGGTGAATGACTCTTTTTGGCTCAATGGAGAAGATGAATGGCTCATTTTAAATTGACTCATTATAAATTGACTACCCATTTAATATGTCTTTCTAATTTTTTCCAGTGACACAAGATGACAGCAATGGTAGTTCTGGAATTGTGAAATATAATGTGTTCACGATATTTTTTCTTTATTTAATTTAATCATTTAAAGTATTTTCAGATTCATGTTGCTGCTACTGTTACTTATGGACTAAGTTGATGGCGGGAAAAAGGGGTGAAGTGGGTGAGGACAATTTTACCCTTGTTTATGGAAAGAAAAAGTTATTTTTGTATTTTATTAACGGAAAAACTGACGGAATATGGACGGAAGGACGT